AGGAAAAGGCCGAGAGGAACCAGAGAGGTTCAGACCCAGCAGCTAAGACAAAGGAGAGAGCAGATGGCGGCAGCAAGAAACATCGGTCGCAATCTATGCCTGGGATCACAAAAGGAAGCGACGCTGCAAAGGAGCACGAGAAGCCGAGCTCGCGAAGCAAGTCCTTGCAAGGGCCTGGCCACGACAAGATTGTGGCTGGGGGGAAGCCGGATTCATCTGTGGCGAAGGAGGACAAAAAGGAGAAGAAGCATAAGAAAGACAAGAAGGAAAAGAAGGAAGGCAAGACAAGCAAGGACAAGCTGCTGCGGCAGCACAAGAAGAAGCTAGAGGACTGCATACATGGTTGCACATGAATTAGTATCATATCACATATGTTATACATATATATATAATATTATATATATATGTATATGATATACGTGGGTACATGCACATGAAAATAAACACATCTAGTGAGTGTGTAAATATACACACATCATGTATACTTACACATACATGATACACATACATACGTGTACACATACACATCCACATGCATGGGTTGCCCCCGCTTCTATATATTAGTTTCTTATCATTTTCTCGTTACCTCTCTCTCTCTCTGTCTCCTCTCCCCCTCTCCCTCTGTCTTCGTGGCTTATCCATGCATCTGAAATATATTCCATCCGGCCTATGTAATGTCCCTGATCCCTCCCTTTGTTTGATGCGAGGACAAGACAAAGAGCCCATCATCGGCTACCAAGAGCCCTGCGACTACAGATGCCAATCCGAGCCCCCCTTCTGCCCTGCCAGCTAGGTGCCTCACCTTCAGTGAGGAGGGAACGCCGCCTGCAAAGCACAGACGGCTTGCCACCCTTCCGAGTATGATGTTCGGCAGTGATACATCCTCGCCGCCATCTACTGTGACTTCCCAGGCCGTGCGACTATATAGATCAGATCGTTTTCGGCAAGGATTTAGGGTTGTACAGGGTATTATAGGGTTTAGGGTTTAAGGGTTTGGGGTTTGCATGGGGTTTGAGGTCTAGGAACCCTGCAGCCGACTCCTGTCCCTGAAGGCAAATGGGTCTCAGAAAACCAAGCGACTGACGAAGCTTACTGACGAGGAGAAGGCTGGCATCATGGAGATGACTTCGCCGCAGGCGACGCATTTATGCTCAGACCAGCGTACCGATCAGAATTATAGGTTTTAATTTTTTGTGTGACCCTGAGGACATTCCCCGTGAGGAGAGGAAGCGGCAGTACTCTGCTCTGCGAAGAGCAATCCTAAGAAGCGCCAACCCAGCCCTCACGGCAAAGTTTTCGCTGTGTGATGATGACTCGAGGCACATTACATACGTCTTCGGTACACACATGTTTTCATAAACTGCTGTGGCCTGTTTGCAAGCCGCCCCAGGTTCGGCATGCTGAAGACTTTCCTCGTCAACCAGGGAGTTGGTGCTATCGAGGTTGAAGAGAAGTACACTCGCTTTGTTGCCGAGCTTCGTACGGACAAGTACGTGACTGTAAGGTTCTCGGTGTTTATTGAATCAATTGACACGACTTGGTGTGAATTGCAGTTTCGTTATTCAATCAAACATATATAATTGTTGAATCCTTATCAGGTCACGATCTTTCAGCTCGAGAAGATCTACGGAAAGTCGGCTGAAGCAAAAGCTTTCATTGCCGATTTGATCAAGGGCAGCTGGGTTGCATTGCAATGGCATACTACCTTCTTCGAAGTTGGTTCTGGGCCTGCTAGCTATACGAACCTATCTATGTGTATAAGGTCAAGCTGGGACTCCGCACCCACAGGCCGGTATTGTGCCCTGAGACATGATATCTTTCAATGAAACCTTGGAGCCTGGACCCAGGCGCCGGACAACGCCAAAGCCAAGATGTACAAAGTACTAAAGGAAGTGGTGGAAGAGCACCAAACCGGGTCCAGAGGCGAAAGCGGTGTTTCTCAGCTGCAGCTAAACTGTTCAGTCCTGGTCAAATGTCCGTTGTGTCGTCGCCTTTCAAGCCAGGGTCCTGCTGCTAAACGCAATCCGATCTGTGGGTTGTAACTTGCTGCAACCTAGATGAAGCTTGGAGGGCGCGTGAACGAAGCTAGTGCGAAGAAGCTTCTGGCTAAGCAATTGGGTGAGTTCGCAAGCAACTTGGACAGTATTGGCTTCTTGGATCAAAAGACCGGCCGCATCAGTGGAAAGACACTTTGCAGCAGATATATATTTAGCTTGATAGATCGATCGATAAATTTTGGCATGTGCTGCTAAGGAAGGCCAAAAAGCCGCTGACCCCGGAGAAGCAAGCTGAAAGGGATCTGAAGTCGGCTGCCACCAAGTGCCCCGACTGTTCTGTATTAATGTGAGAATCTTGCCCTTGCCCGCCGCCAAATTCTGATACGCCCCAAAATGCTATAACTACTCTATACCCTATTAAACCCTAAATAACCTAGTCTCTCTCTCTATCTCTCTCTCTCTCCCTCCTCTTCCACGATCCTGTGATGTTGCTAGCTCCCATAAACTTTATACCCTAAACCCCAAGCCCAAAGAATCGAACCCTAAACCCAAAACCCCAAACCCCCTTTGCATGGATGCTAAGGCTGACAAACCTGACGAAGGCCATCCCGCAGAAACTCCTGGAGATTCGAGGCTTCAAGGTTCGCAACAGGGGCGAGCTGGTTTCAGCCTCGGCAGAATCACGACTGCCAAGGGTTTTGTGTTGCTGGCACTGCATGGATGGCCCAACCTATTGTTTCAGGTGAAATCCCTGGAAAGCCTCGAGCCCAAGGTGGAGGATGCTCTGCAGTTGTGCCAGCAGAAGCAGCAAGGAAAGATTGCTGATGCCACAGAAGCCCAAGCAGTCACGGAGTGGATCAACGAGAATTTGTCTGATCTCCTAAACGATGCCGATCATGATGTCAAGGATGCGCAACGGCGCATCAACTCAATCAAGGCCAAAGAGAAGGCTAAGGCTAAGGCCGAAGAGCAACCGGCCGGTGACCACAGCGAAGAAGAGCACGAGGATGATGATGTGGAGGATTGACAAAGTCAATCCTGGGCCGCCCGAGCTGTCTGCTGGAGCACTTTAGCTTGCTGTGTGTAGGCATCTTAGTGAGCTGCACGGGGATATGTGATTGAGGCACACCACTTAAGTTATTAACATATCGGGCCCAGGGGTACCTAAAACCGTTGCCTTGCTATTTATATGTAATGCTATCGCGATCCCTCGTTGTAGCCAACCAACGATGCCGTCCGCATTGTGGAGCTTTTTACAGCATCGAGCCTAGAACAGTTCGGCAAGGGTTTAGCAAGGCAGCCTTGAGGCCAGCGAAAGGCAGAAACACCCAGCACCCGCAGACATATTCAATAGTCTAGGGTCATATGATCCGATGGGCCCCTCTCTAGGTTGTGGAATGTAAATTAGCAAGGCTCCTAGCTGACCTCCTGGCTGGCTTTGCATAATATTCGGGATTATTTGGCAGTGCTAACATTGCCACGAAGCCGAAAACAATTGCCCAGGTGTCACTCTGCCGAAAAAGAACGATCGATGCATATATGCGGGGGTTCAGTGCATCTCTCGATGAAGCCTTGTGCCTGGATCTATCCATGTACTGTCAGCGACTCTTTCAAAGGATTTGTTGCTAGCTGCAAAAAAAGCAATAACCCTAAACCCTAAACCCTAACCCTAAACCCTAAAAAACCCTAAACCCTAAACCCTTATACACCCTAAACCCCCTGAACAGCTTGACCGACCCGCATGATCTGTATCGACCTTACCATACCTCCCGATGGGCGCCTGGGGGTCCTTAAAGAACTACAGGGTACCTACAGTTTGGGAAGTCGATCCATGGACTCTATATTATGATATTTCCATGGATATTGTTGAAGAGTTCCTGGAGCTGGGCAAAGATGTGACGTGTCTGCACTAGACTTTTTTTTGTGCTGCATGTTTGCAAGTCCTATTTCGGCTGCATGACAACCACGCACGGGTAACAATCAAGGTCAGTGTTGCTACGATTGTGGCTATGCTTCAAGTCATCCATCGACGCATCCCTCGCTC